AGTGACGTTGCAACACATCTAGTCTGTTACAGCCAGCATCCTAGGAAATAGTCCCTGGTTTTAATTCAGTTGGGTACTGGTTTCAGCCAGCTCCCAATGCAGTTCTCCTGGACTGATAGGGCCTGACCAGAGACTTGGAGGGGGTCTCCTTAAACCAATGAGGAGTCTTAAGATTGGCAGTCATCCTGTGCCCAAGACAGACAACTTTGTGTAAGGCCAGGAATAGAGGGCATCAAGTTTCTGGGGCTTACTCCCATTGTAGCCAGGATACTAACTTCCAGCCAAAAGGCAGGCTGTCTTCTCAGAGGCAGCCTAAGTAGTCAACATGAAAGTGTTTCAGTAAGACCATACTTCTTGAACAACCCCTGAAATGAGAATAAAGAAGCAAAAGAGAAAAGTATTCTCAACCATATTTGCACCAAGGCTCAGATTTCAAATGAACAGACTGAGTCCCACCTGTTGGGCACCATATGATGAAGTTTGGAGTCCTGGTGGAGTGCTCCAGAGGCAGCAGGTGAAGAAACAATTCTTGAAGATGTCTTTGGTGCAAAAAGGTGATTTTAGTAAAGCATGGGGACAGGACCCTTGGGCAGGAAGAGCTGCACTAGGGTTGTAATGGGTACCTCATTATATACGTTCAGTTTGGGAGGGGGTCAGGTATAGAATAAATTTCTAAGGAATTTTTGAAGCAATAGTTCCAGAACTTTGAGGGGCTAGCTGTTGGTAGGCAAACACCATTTATCACTATTTAATGAAACTTGAATCATGAGGCCCTTCAGATGTATATTGGGGATGGTAAGCTTGGAGCATGAATACCAGCATATATCCTGGGACAGTTGAGATAAAGGAAGTAAACTTACAGGATCCTCAGGGCTGGAATAATGTTAAGCTAAGGTTCTCTTTTGCCCCGAGCAAAGTGTCATCATCAAAGCAGCAGAGCTGCTAGAAGGGGGTCACTCTCCCTGTTTAAAGGACTTGTCAGTGGGCTGTAGGCAGTAAGGGAATTTAAGTTTTCATTTGCCTTGGTTTCCCACATACCATGGCAAGCACTTAAACCCCTTTCCTTTGTTCTTGGATAGCTGGAGTGTCTGAGGAATATCACATCTATTTCACCTGGGCTGGGACCTGGGCAGGGGTGGGGGCTGAGGGAAGGGGAGGGTTTGTGCCACCTGTATTTTTCCCTAGGCTTGCCCCATGCTCCTTGGTCAGCTTTGTGCAGTGGCGGGGGGAAACTTTCCTTCACCATTCAGTGCCGTTGGACGTCTGGGTCAGGCCATCCTAGGAATGCATGTTTTGGGTGTTGTGTGTTTTCTTAATGGTAAATGTGGATACTTTGAACTGTCTTCATTTCGTTTTGTTTTTCTTTTCTTTTCTCAGCAGTTTTGGGCTTGTGTTATTTTTGATTAATCTATTGCTTGTGCTGGCCTGCCTGTGCCTATAGTGTCTGCTGCTATAACATGCTACAGCACTTAACCCTGTTTTCAGTGGCCTTCAACCTGTACTCAAACTATGCTGCAAATTTTAGATCTCTGGGATCTGAAGCTAGAAATCTGGAGTTAAGTTCCCCATACTCCTGCTGATCTGAGTGAAGGATCCATTAGGAGCCATGCTGGAATTGGGTGTTATTTTTAATTTTGTCTTGAGCTACATTGGACTGGGGGATGGGCTAGCGTAAATAAAACTTGAGTTAAAAACATAAACTCCTAAAAGTCATCAGTTCTGTTAAATTTATTCACTCACCTGGGTCCTGAATCCAGTTTCTCACTTACCTGCATGCTTAAAGCCAGTTTCTAGCTTTCTCATAAATTTAGTTTTGTTTGCATATTGCTGTTAATTTGGTGTCTCTGGAAGATAGGACCTGAAGTTTTTTATTCTGCTATCTTGCTGACGTCACATTACTAATTTTTATCTTATTAAGAAAGGTGATAACTTTTCCAGTCCTAGAATATGTTAAGAGATGCTGCAGTTTGTATTGAAAAAAACTGCTGTTGTGATCTAAAGGAATGTAGCATTGCTGTTTTGGATTACATTTTAAGTTATTTGAATAATTGCTAATTTTTTCAGAAACTCTTTGTAATGCAGGGTTTCTCCCTTGATTGGTCTGATTGGTATACCTTAATCTATATGATAATTTTAACAGTATTATTTAAAGTTTGAGACTCCTACATGAAGTCAAGTAAAGCACTAACTTCTACCTGTTTTCTCTCTAATTAAATGCAATCTAAGATATAGTCCCCAGTATCATTCTAGCCCTCACCCTCAGTATCATTCTTAAAGAATAGATATATGGCATAAGCTTTTCTGGTTTTGACTCAGATCTTTCCAAATTATATCTGAAAAGTTTGCTTTCCAAAATACTTCAAATGCCTCACAGTACACTGTAGTGTTAGAAAGCAGGGTATTTGTTGAAAATTAGTTTTTGCCTAGTAATAGTGAGACACTGTACTGAAGTAATTACATATGTTTATGAGTATGGTGGTATTTCCATTTCCAAAAACAGATTGGTTATTCTCTCTGTCTTTTAAAATAGGCAGGTATTTTAGTGGAAATGGTAACTTTGAGATCTGAGTTCAGGTTAGACTTTAGAAATGTATTTGCTCCATACATATTACTTGTTCATTTACCAAAAGACCAGCCATCTCAGTGCTTACAGGTGTCAGAAGCCATCAATCTAGCATGCTTAGGAAAGGAGAATTTTATGTGGAGGCAGAGATGATGTGAGTGATAAGGCAGAAACAATAAAGTCTGTAAACTAAGACTTGATATACCCTATGATGGAAGTTTGCTCAGCCCTACTGAATAGCTAAGAGTGAAGCATATTAATGGGTAGTTAACAGGAAAAGACCAGAACTCCTAGAGAACTGGAACTGTGTGTGAGAAGAGAAAAAGTACTGTCCAGGTAAGGCTTTCTCAGAGGCAAAAGATCATTCTATGATATAGGAAAAACATACTTCGTTTGAGAGAAAGCAGAGATTATACTGTCAGGTTTTTTTGCACTTATTCTTATAACAGCCTTTTGTTGAAAATGACTTAGAGCACCTGGGTCAAGCATCTGGCTTGTCAAGCATTGGCAGGTTATGATCTCACAGTTCATAAGTTCAGGCTCTGAGGCATTGGGCTTGCTTTGGATACTCTATCCCCATCCTCTCTGCCCTTCCCCCACTCTTGCTTGCTCTTCCTCTCTCTCTCCTTTCTCTTAAAAATAAATTAAACATGAAAGAAAGAGAGAGAGAAAGAAAGAGAGGGAGGGAGGGAGGAGAGGAAGGAAAGGAGGAGAGGAAGGAAAGGAAGCAAAAAGAAAACGACTTCGGCCTTTTGCTGGTTACTTAACTGTGTATCTCCAGATATAAGGATATGAGCAGACACAAAATGACAGGAAAACAATTTTAGGATATTTCAAATATTCTCATACCAAAAGGAATTCAACTAGCAATGGAAAATCTTACGAAGAAAAATTTAAGTAGAAATAATACCCACCCATCCCTCCCTACCTGCACAGAGATGGGATTAGTTCTATGGTTGCATACTTAACATACCTGTGCTTTGGTCAAATAACTTCTTAGAATCTCAGGTTCCTAATTCATAGAAATGTAAGTCATGTGCCAAATGTAAGTTATCATTAACTGTGAGGTTAATGATAACTAATACCCACCAGAGCCCCACAAACTACAGAGTTATAGGGATAAATAGAGTCTTGATCCTGAATCATACATAATCTCTTACCCTCCCCCCAGAAAACATTTAGGGAGAGAGGTTTGCATGTTTGTTTTGACAGAAACTGGTTTATTTCCAAAGCCATGTATGGACCTCCTTTAAAACAATCATGACAAATGCAGTTTTGAATGTGAATCAAATGAGGAAAAAGAAATACGTAGACATTCTTTCAAGAAATTTCTGGAGAAGGACTGATAGGGCTTTTAATAAGAAGAATTTAGGCATATTTGTAGACTAAGGAAAAAAAAGAAATTCAGAGGATTAAGATTATGGACAAACTGGGATCAGGAGCCCATTAAAAGGACAAAAGAGAAGAGAACAAACTTGAAGTAGTGAACAATGAAAAGAAGACGTCAAATTTTTTTCAACTTGCATGAAAAAATGATTTTTAAATAGTTTTGTAAGCAGCAGGACTCAAATATAAAAAAGTAGGGACTTTCTCTAAGTTTTAAAAATCATCTACTTCAGGAGCATCTGGGTGGCTCAGTCAGAACCGACTCTTGATTAAAGCTGAGGTCATGATCTCACAGTTCTTGAGTTCAAGCCCTGCATCAGGTTCTTGGCTGACATTCTCCCTCTCTCCCTCTCTCCCTCTCTCTCTCTCTCTCTCTCTCTCTCTCTCTCTCTCTCTGTCTCTCTCTCTCTCTGTCTCTCTCTCTCTCTCGTCCTGCCCTGCTTGTGCTCTTGCTCTTGTTTCTTCTCAAAATAAACTTAAAACAAAAAAAAAAGTTTAGTTTGTATAAAGCATGTTTATATGCTGGGGAAAAACGTACTTAATGTGATCTTATAGTAGTTGACCCTATGGAGGGATTGTGTGTGCATTTATGTGTATGTTTTGGGTCTTTTTTTTTTAACTACTTTCTGATTCTGTGTATAATAAGGAATACTATTACTATTTGCTAACTTGGTTTTTCATTTTGTTTGTTAAAAAGTAGTCTACATCATTTTTTTAGTGTATTTCAGTGTATTTAAGAGCAGTTGATAGACATTTTCTGATTCTTTATTAAGTCATATATGACGAGTAAAAAGCTTGTATTTTTTTCTAGTGCTACTATATATAATATTAATGTACTTTCTACGTTTTCGTGTTAGAACTACTGGTAGGTGCAGTAGGAATTTAGTAGGTTGAATAACAGTAGTAATAAAGATTTTACTTCGGTCTTTTATAGCCATCTGTTAATGACTATAGAGAGTGATACTACCACCATCACCATAAAATTGGAATGATTCTTTATTTGCCTTTTTAATATTTAAAACAAATATGCCTTTTTTTCTTCTGTTTTTAGGTTATGAAATGGTCTCTGCAAGATGATCTGTCCTTGAATTTGAAATTCTTAAGCCTGACATATGCTGGTACTTATTCTCCTTTAACTAGACTATAATTTCTTCTGTTACAACTGCTATATAAAGCAGAGAAAATAGCAAAGATCTGTTCTGTGTCAAGTATGACCGCCACAACTCGTGGCTCTCCAGTAGGAGGAACTGACAGCCAGGGCCAAGCCCCTGATGGACAATCTCAGCCCCCCTTCCAACATAATCAGGTAGGACATGATGTGCTAAGGCTGTGTTGTTCTGAATTACAAAATAATGACAGATGTCCTGAATAATTTATAATCATTAGAAGCTCATTGTCATTTTAAGTTACACTTAAGAACAGTCACTGAGACGTATAAGAAACCTACTGTAAATGGTTAAGAAGGTAAGGTCCCTTCCATTTTTTAATACAAGTCTGTAATGACAAAATCATTAAATTAGTTGTTTTGTAACTGTTAGAAGCATAGACTCAAGTCAGCTCTTTATTTTGGAATCCCATCTTTGTGCCATACTAACCTTATAGCTGTGGCTAAGCAAAATACCTATGCCTTACTTTCTGTATCTTTAGTTAGTTAAGGAAGTAATTATTTTTTAAAATTGTGAACTATGTTTATTATAGCATGTACAAACCACCCATAGCCTGTATCTGTCAGAGACCTGAGGACACTGTCCAGCCTGCACCTTCAAGTCACCTTCCCCAAACTCTGCACATCTTCAGCACCTCCTGGCATTCCTGAGTGGCACAGCAGCCATGACCCCATCAGTGACTGTCCTGGAGGAATGTATGGCAGCACAGGGTCCACAGCTTACCCCCAAGCCTTTTTTTTTTTTTTTTTTTGGCTGACCGTGTTTAAAATGTTTTTTTAATTGGTTGCCAACAACTCAAAAATCAGAATATCTCACATAAATATCTGGATTTTTGGCTTCTCCAGATTTTTCACATTAGACCCACACTCACACTTTACAACAATTAGCTGTCATTGAATGTCAGCCACCCATTTCAGATGGGAATCTGCTTTGTCACTTGAAGCCAGTTGCCATTAGTTACTTAATCATTCAGATACTTACCACAAGCCATGTCTCTTTATGTCCTCCTATCCCCAGTAATAGAAGTCAGAGTTGCACTACAAAACCTCACAACTCAAAGGCCTACTTACATTTTTATAACCTTGCTGGCCCTGAGGACATATAAATTAGAGATCTGTGAACTACCAGTGTCTGTATATTTAAAGTGTGGATAAGTAAAATAATGAGTGTACAGGGCTCAACTCAGATTTTATTTTATTTTTATTTAGTTAGTTTTTTCATTTAAGAGAGGGAGCACGTAAGTAGGGGAGAGGAACAAAGAGAGAGAGGGAGAATCTTAGGCTCCACACAGAGCATGGAGCCCAGCATGGGGCTCAGTCCCACAACCCCTGGGATTATGACCTGAGGCAGAATCAACAGTTGACACCCAACTGACAGAGCAACCTAGTTTAACGCTGGCCTATAATGGATGTAATTAATTTTTCTTTTCTGTGAAAGAATTTGTGTTAACGGAAATGTATTTCCATTTGATTAATAGAAAATTGTTGTTAAAGACTTAATGTAACATTAATTCTTCTTTTAAGTGGTAATATGCATTTCCTTTCCTTCCTCAGTTTTTCTAGGGGGTTAGTTTCATTCAACTTTGCAAAGTTTTGCAAGTATTGGCTTGGAATATGGGGTTTCTTTTTACATTAGGAATTTTATTATTTAATCTTCATTAGTTCTTTCCTTTTGCTTCCGTTGGGTTCCATTGCTGTGTGTTTTCTGGTTTCTCTGTGTGGAAATTTAGACAGTTGTTTAGTACTTTTCTTTTAGTTTCGATGTATTCTAAAACGTGCATTTTAGACTATCAAATCATATACCACAGCTTTTAATGCATTTGTATCATCATTCTGCTAACATATTTTTTTTTAATGTTTAGTTATTTTTGAGAGACAGAGAGAGACCTAGCATGAGCAGGGGAGGGCCAAGGAAGAGAGAAACACAGAAACAGAAGCAGGCTCCAGGCTCTAAGCTGTCAGCACAGAGTCTGAAGCAGGGCTTGAATTCATGGACCTTGAGATCGTGACCTGAGCCTAAGTTGGACACCCAACTGACTGAGTTAGCACCCTTCTGCTAACATATTTTAAAATTTGTGTGGTGATATTTTACATAAGAATATTTTTAGGAGGGCCTGGACAGTTCAGTCTTCAAGCATCTGACTCTTGATTTTAGCTCAGGTCATGATCTCACAGTTCATGGGTTCAAGCCCTGTGCACTGAACAGCATACAGCCTACTGGGGAATCTCTTTTCTTCCTCTCTGTATGTCCCTCCCCCACTTGTGCATGTGCTCTCTCTCTCAAAATAAACATTTTTTAAGAAGAATATATTTAGAAATGTAGTGTGTCATATTCAAGCAGTTGGAGGTTTTCTCCAATTTGGTCACTGGCATATAGGTTAATTCCTTTATGGATAGACAGTATGTTCTCAGTGATGTCACTGTTTGGGAATTTATTGAGGCTTGATATGTTGCCCAGCATATAGTAATTTGGAACATAAGGGAACTTAGAAAAAGCCGATATATTTCATTATAGAATTCATTTGTCATTTAATTTACTTGTTTTATTAGTATTTGAGAGGTGTGTTAAAGTCTATTTGGGATTGTGGACTTGACCATTTTTCTTTTTAAAAATGAGAATAGTAGTGTTATCAATTATAGTGAAATAAAAGTTTGAACCTATAAGATGTATGCATATTGAAAATAGTGATAATTTTATTGCCCTTGTCCTTGGTTCCTTCTTTTGCCTTCAACTTTGATTCTACTTTTTGTGGTTTTGAGTGAGCATTTTATAGAATTCTTTTCTCTGCTTTTGTAACATCTTACAAATGATACTTTTTTAAATATATATTTTTAATGTTTTTATTTATTTTTGAGAGGGGGGTAGGGACAGAGAGAAAGAGGGAGACACACAATCTCAAACGGCTCCAGGCTCCAGACTCTGAGCTGAACCCCTCCTCCCCCTACCCCCATGGGCTTGAACTCAGGAACCATGATATCATTACCTGAACTGATGTCAGTTGCTCAACTGACTGAGCCATGTATTTGCCCCCTACCTTTTTTTTTTTTGTCCTTTTATAGTGGTTGCCTTAGAGTTTGCAATACATTCTATCCACTTACAAATAACCTATACAACTTCATGGGAAATTCATATTCCTTACCACAATTTATGTTTAACTCCTCCCACTGCTGCTTTGTATCATTCTCCTCCTTTATCCTACCCATTTATTGAACACATTGTTGCTTTTGGACAGATTGTTGCATATTAATTCTATTAAGAATATGAAGGATGCACCTCAGGGGTTCAATCAGTTGAGCAGGAGCTTCAGAGCTTCAAGCTTCGACTTTTGATTTCAAGCTCAGGTCATGATCCCATAGTCCAAGCCTACAGTGGGCTTCATGCTAAGCATGGAGCATACTTAGGATTCTCCCTCCCCCATCTCTCTCTCTCTCTCTCTCTCTCTCTCTCTCTTTAAAAAAAAAAAAAAATATATATATATATATATATATATATACACACATACACACACATATATGTTATATATATATGTGTGTACTTATATGTATGCTAAGCATGGAGCGTACTTAGGATTCTCCCCCATCTGTCTCTCTCTCTCTTAAAACAAATATATATATATATATATATGTTTATATGTGTATATATATGTATATATGTTTATCTGTGTGTATATATATGTTTATATGTATATATAATTATATTTATATAAATGTATTGTATATTTACATAATACATATATTTATTATATTAATATGTTATATACATTAATATATATATATTAAGAATAAAGGTCCTTGTTTTATCTTCTCTTACTCCTGGCTGTAATACTTTTCTTTACACATACTCAAATTTCTGACTGTTTTGCTTCTCTTGGAAGATCTTGACATTTCTTGCAAGATAGGCAATAAATTCCCCCAGTTTTTATCTGAGAAATTTCTTCTTCACTTTGAAGTATAATATTCAAGTATAGGGAATTCTAGACTGATGGTTGTTTTTTCTCAACACTAAATGTTGCGGGTTTTTTGTTTGTTTTGTTTCCCTTTCCCTACATGGAAGCTGTCCACATGGAAGTCTGTAGCAGGCTGGAGTTTGGTATTTCCCTTCTAGGTTGGTTAGGTTCTGATAAAAATCTAGAAGGTTAGAACCTCGTAAAGTAGCCTCTCTTGAGGGTATGCTTTTTTTTTTTTTAATTAAAAAAATTTTTTAATGTTTTTATTTATTTTTGAGAGAGAGAGAGGCCGAGCATGAGCATGAGCATGAGCAGGGGAGGGGCAGAGAGAGAGGGAGACAGAATCTGAAGAGGCTCCAGGCTCCAAGCTGTCAGCACAGAGCCTGACGCGGGGCTCGAACTCAAGCTGTGAGATCATGACCTGGGCTGAAGTCAGATGCTTAACCGACTGAGCCATCCAGCCGACCCAGTGTTTATTTTTTAGAGAGAGACAGAGACAGAGAGAAAGAGAGAGACAGAGGGTCAGCAGAGGAGAGGCCAAGAGAGAGAGGGAGACAGAATCTGAAGCAGGTTCCAGGCTCTGAGCTGTCAGCACAGAGCCGGGTGCGGGGCTCGAACTCACAGATGGTGAGATCATGACCTGAGCTGAAGTCAGATGCTTAACCTACTGAGCCACCCAGGCACCCCAAGGGTATGGGGGGGGGGGGGGTTGTTGTTTTTTAAAGAAGAGCTGAATGTTGTACCATAGTTCAGAATGGCTACATTGCATCTTCTCCTGGAAATGGAATTCTCTGTGAACCTCACTGTGACAATTTGATAGGATTTCTGCAGGTAAAATCACAAAACTTTGAGTGTTCTCTTCAGTCTAGACCCTCTGTAGTTTTAAACTCAGACTTTCCACTCTTTGTTTCCAAGCAATTAATCAAGTGCAATGTAAGTTTTCCTCTCCCAATCCTTATTACCATGGAGATTTTGGTCATGATTTTCTGCTGGTTATTTTTTTACTCTCTTTGTCCCTGAGACACTCTTCTGGTTTTATAGGCAGCGGTTTCCTTATGACCTTCATTCTCCATCAGATCTGTGAAGAGTTGTTACTTCAGTTTATTCAGTTTTTTACTTGTTAGGAAAGAGTAACAACTTCAAAGCTGTTTATATGCTGAACCAGAAACCAGAAGTCTCCTCCTGTCCTTTTACTTTCTTCTCCTTTATGTCCTTATGTTTAAGCGTCTATATTTTATGTAGCTTGTAGCTATGTTTTGTGTTTTTGTCTTGATTTTCAGTTGTATTTTTAGTCCTTTTAATATAAATGCTGAAATATTTGGGATATTTGTCTTTTATGGTGTATGTGCCTTAAGAATTTGGGAATGGCTTAACTCATGGTTCTGACTTTTTTTGTGTGGTTGTAGTCAGCATCTCAGCTGGGATTACAGTCATCTGAAGGCTTGACCAGAGTGGCTCCCTCACATGGCTTTTCATTGGATGCCTCAGTTTCTCACCACATAGACCTCTGCAAAGGGCTGCTTAAGTGTCTTCAAGTCATGACACTTAGGTTTTCCCAGAAAGATTGTTCTAAGAGAAGAAGAAAACAAGCATAACTTCTGTGGAGTCACCCCAGAAGTTATACTGATATTTCCACAAGGATATATAATTAAGAAAGTTTGGCTCCTGGGTGGCTTAGTTGGTTGGGTGTCTTGACTTTTGATTTCAAGTCAGGTCATAACCTTATAGTTTGTTGATTTGAGCCCTGAATATGGGGCCTGCTTGGGATTCTTTCTCCCTCTCCCCCGTCCCCGACCCTCACATCGTCTTGATCTCTCTGAAAAATAAAAAAGTAAACTTAAAAAAAATACTCATTACAGCTGTTTCATTAGCAGTAAACATTACAAAAACTAATGTTCTCTAATTTTAGTCTGCTCAATCCATACAATGCTATATGCTCAATTTTTCAAAAATTCTTAATCTTTTAAATACAGTAAGTGTGCAAAATACCAGTTTATAAAAAAATAAGCAGTGTGATCACAGTTGTATTAAATATTTATAGATATATATGGAAAAATTTTAAGTATGTAACATTTTTACTTGGTACTGAATTGCTAAATGTTATACAAATGTCATAGAAATTTAAGTCTGGCGTATTTAATTTTTCAGACCTCATCGGCCAATTCCTCCAATGAGAATTCTCCGGCATCTCCTCCAGATGAACAAGGTCAGGGAGATGCTCCACCACAGCATGAAGATGAAGAACCTGCATTTCCACATACTGACCTCGCAAAGTTGGATGACATGATCAACAGGTGAGTTGGTTTTTTTTGTTTATTTGTTGTTTTAAGTTTATTTTGAGAGACAGCAAGCAAGAGCTCATACCATGGGGGAAGGCAGAGAGAAAGGGAGAAAGAGAGAATCCCAAGCAAGGCTCCATGCTGTCAGCAGAGAGGCCATTGTGGGGCTCAGACCCGTGGACTGTGAGATCATGACCTGAGTTGAAATCAAGATAGAGACGCTTAACCAACTGAGTTACCCAGGCACCCCTTGTTAACCAAATTTTTTTTTTTTTTTTTGAGAGAGCAAGTGAGTGAGGAGCAGAAAGAGGGAGAGAATCCCACAAGGGGCAGAGGGAGAGAGAGGAGTGGGGCTCGCCCGGGGCGGGGGCGGGGGGTTATGTTTTTTGTTTGCTTGTTTTTGTTGTTGTTTTTTACCTGAAGCAGGGCTCCAGCTCTACCATTGTGGGACTCATACTCATGAACTGTGAGATCATGACCTCAGCTGAAGTCCAGTTCTTAACAACTAAGCCACCAGGTGCCCGTAACCAGATTTTTAAGCATTGCCACTGCTAAAGAATGAAAAAAAGACTGGATTGCAGTGTCACAAAAAGAAATTTTGCCCTTTCCCTAATAACATTAACGCTTTAGACATTGCCAGATAGTTTGTAATTCATTGCTAATGCAGGCATTTATGTGAATTTTTAAAAATTAAAAGATGATATGAAAAAAGATTTTAAATTAATAATGCTTTGTGATCTTAATGGATGTATTTCTAGCCTAGAACCGTAGGTGGGAATTTCCTTTTGAGTATTTATAAAGGTTATGTCTCCTTGGTATTTTGACTACTAGACTTGCTAGATGACCTTCTTTCTATGTCCATTTTCTATTCAGAGAAATTATTGTAAAAGATTTTGTCTGGTGGTTGTTGATTTTTATTAGAGTGTACTTCTAATTAGGACCGGAGGACTGAGTTACATTAAATCTTAAGTTAAGGGAAATTTTTAAAAATCGCTTTTGCATAACCTATAACAAAAGTATCTATTACATTTTTTGTAATAGGCTATCTTTTTAGTAAAACAGGGTATTCAGGGATTTTGTTGTCCTTCTGAAAAGGACTTAGGGACAGACAGAATACAGTTCTTTCTAGGAATTAGAGAGTTAGTCAGTGTAATGTATTCCTAGGTAACTGAGGAAAAATCCTATCCTGAGTATGGTGGCATCTATATTGCTTTTGATACAGGACTGTACTTAGTAATGGTACACAGGCTCAGAGGCTCTGTAAGTCATACAGTTTTCAGGAAAAGTTGGTAAATGTCATGTTGAGATGAATTGAAGTAGAAATCAGCCATTTGTCTCCACATTTATTTTGTCTTTGTGAAGAACAGAAAAGGGATGTTGTGTTGTCTTCTCTTAATGTATCTAAACCTCAAAAGAACAGTTTGCTACTGACTTTTAACAATGAGTATACATTTACTTGATAATTGATTAATTTCAGTTTTAGGGGGCTGTGAAAGTTACTTATTGAATTCTCCTTCATCGCTATATCTCTAGTTATGCAGTGCTTTTAAAAATTGTGTATGTACATATCTCGGTTCACAAAGCAGGTAATTTGCCAATCTCTTCTTTCAGTTTGTGGTGAGTGTTTAATGTAGTCAGATTTTTCACTTTTTCATAGTAAAATTAATTTTGTAGGTAAGTTATCTTTGGTATTTCATTTGTGGCCAACTAATACGGCATTTTAAAACTGCATAATAATTTTTAGGCCTCGATGGGTGGTTCCAGTTTTGCCAAAAGGTGAATTAGAAGTGCTTTTAGAAGCTGCTATTGATCTTAGTAAAAAAGGTGAGTACATAGATTACTATGTTTTCCATAATGCATTATTGATACTTGCATATTGTTCTTGAGACTTTTTTCTCTTTTATAAAAAGTTGCTATATATTCTTAGACCACACTGTCTTCCTAAACTTTCTGTTAGGGCTTATATGTATGCTTAGAACAAAGATTTTGTGTATCTTTGACAGTCTTTAAAGACCTCTGAATTCTTTAAAATTTTATGCAGAATTTTATGTATAAACATTTCTAGGTGCAGGATCTGCTTGTATATTTTTAAAGGCCCTGTTAATTAAACATTAAAATATTTTCTAGACTAATAATTTTTCAAAAATCTGATGTGTGAAGTAGTATACATCAAAGAGTGTTTCACAATTTAAAAAAAACTAAATGACCTTAGATTTCAGATTTATCTATTGACTTTTTTTGCATGTAAGGCATTTATAATTGGGAAATAATGTTAATTTGCAAGTAATTTCAGTAAAACATATTTAAATTTACTATTTGAGTGACTTACTGAACAGCCAGTGAACTAAAAGATACACTAATCTTATATTTTTATGAAAATTACTATTTCATTAATATTTTGTTGTGAAAACTCAATATTGTATTTTGACTTTTTAAAAACTAAATTTTTTGGAAAAAGTATCTTGAGAAATGAGGTCTTTTACTAATTTTTTTTTTTAATTTTTTTTTTCAACATTTTTTATTTTTATTTTTGGGACAGAGAGAGACAGAGCATGAACAGGGGAAGGGCAGAGAGAGAGGGAGACACAGAATCGGAAACAGGCTCCAGGTTCCGAGCCATCAGCCCAGAGCCTGACGTAGGGCTCGAACTCACGGACCGCGAGATCGTGACTTGGCTGAAGTCGGATGCTTAACCGACTGTGCCACCCAGGCGCCCCATTAATTTTTTTTTTTTTAAAGAAACCAGTAAATAATCTGGTATTTTTCACTATTACCTAAAACTAAAAGTATCATATTGGAGTCCATCACGTTTGAAAAAAAAAAAAATGTTTATTTATTTTTGAGAGAGAGAGTATGAGCAGGAAGGAGCAGAGAGAGAGGGAGACACAGAATCTAAAGCAGGCTGCAGGCTCTGAACTGCCAGCATAGTGTCCTGAGCTGTCAGCACAGAGCCTATTGCGGGGCTCGAACTCACAAACCATGAGATCCTGATCTGAACCAAAGTCGGTTGCTTAATTGACAGCCACCCAGGCGCCCCAAGAATGTTTCATTTTTAATTTTACAAACTATAAAAGTATTTTACCAACACTCAAGTTTCTTTTGTTTTGTGCATTTGTTCATTAATTGAAGGATTTATGAACTGGGCATGTTATCAATCTAAAGGTATAGAATGAATAAAAATTGAAATGCTACTTTGTTTAAATAAAGCATTGGCATTCAGTTGCAGAGGCTTTTCTCTCCCCATTCATTTTCTGTGGGATCCTATTTTTGCAACAAAAATTTAAGTTTTTTTTAAGGGAAGTCCCAGGTATAAATGATCTACCAGTGTGTAAATGATCTAAACCAAACCAAACTGTGCAGATTTAATGTTTGAGTTCTTATGAAGTATTACACATTCTCTTTTTGGCACTGAAGGTACTTTTTAAATCATAAGAAATAAAGGAAGTACACATGCCTAGATGCCTGTAAGTGATGAAAGGACTAATTAATTATGAAGATACAGGATTCATGTGTTAAATTTGGTATTAAACAGATAATTTAGAGCCAAATGAAATTTTTAAATGGTTACCTTTTTTTTTTAAGTTTTGAACTGTAGTTTTGGTGAGTAAAACCATGTGAAATGCTTTCATTCTCTATTTCCCCAGTAACTTTTTTGTTTAAAATGTAGTTTCATGTCTTGAAGCATTTTCAGTTAATCATCACATGACTTGATTTCACATACACAGCATTTATACAACTTGGTATTTTTAGAATTGAATATAGCATTTCATTTTTCTGAACCTTTTTTCTTTTTCATTGTAAAAAAGTTACCTTTTACCCTCTTGCAGAGACAAGTCATGTCTTATTTCAAAAGCTGCAGTACTGTTTGTGAGAGAAACTATCAATACTTCTAACAGTTTATCTTTAATGGTCTAATTGGCTAGAGAAATGTTTTTTTCTTTATGTTAAATTCAATTTTTTTTTATGTGTTCTTAGGTCTTGATGTTAAAAGTGAAGCATGCCAACGTTTTTTTCGAGATGGTCTAACAGTATCTTTCACTAAAATTCTTATGGATGAGGCAGTGAGTGGCTGGAAATTTGAAATTCATGTGAGTCTTAGGTTTTGGAGACTCATATTTATATGGTGATGCCTATAGATTTATCTCTGGAAAACAGTCCTGTGAATAGTATATCAAGTCTGCTGATGTATTTGACAGAATTGAAGGTCTTTAAGAACAGTCTTATCTTTTAGAATGAATTTGAGATTTGAGTTATGAAATCTTGGTTTAAGCTCTTCTGGAATCCCAAGTACCTATAACCATATGCAGGTCCTACATTTCATCGAATGTGTCATGGTATTGATTGTAAGAGTTGACTGTTCTATATACTTTTAAGAAAGAAAAACACCCAAGATGACAAATAAAAGATTCCCAGTATAGATAGCACTGTATCAGATATAATTTTAGGAGAGATACAGCTGATAAATTCATTGACATGCAAGAAACCTTACAAGCTTTAACTTTGGTAGAGTGAGAAAAGAAAATCTTACCTGGAAATTTAAACCACAAGCCAGTATTCTCACAAGGTTTTGGTATGAATTCAGACTACAGTTTTTTAGTAATTAAAAAAGTCCCAACAAAATCTAAACAGTTCTCAAATTGGAAGTGTCTCTAAGTGAGTGACTGCAGAAAACTTGAATACTCAGTAAATACCTTTAGTCTAGGACAGTGCAAGCAAATGCAAAATAATGCAAGCTACCATTGATTCTTAGATACCTTTGTGTTCCAGAGATTTTGAAAGTGAAATAATATGCACCTGACTTGATTCATTGAACTCTGTAACCTGGTTCTTGTGTATAACACAGAATTAATCAATCAAGAGTTATGAAACAAACATGGTCTGTGGACTTCAGCTTGGAAAATATAACATACCTGATTTTTGAATTGATATTTAGATGACAGATCTCCTAATCTTAGATACTGACATAACTTTGAACGTTTAGGGTGTAGAATTACTGCCTCTAGAGTACAAATTCCAAAGAAAGAAAATGGTAATTTGCATGGCTCCTTTGTGCACACAGAGTAGAAGTGGACAACGTATGGTGCCTACTTCATCTGTAACTTTTCTCACATAGCTGTTGAAATTAGATGCATTACAAATATGAAGTAAATAATTACTGATTTATTTTTATTGTCCGCTCGATCACAGTATTAGTGAAGTTACACAGAATTCAGATGACCAATATAGAAAATGGAGAAAGTGAGCATTAATAACAAGATTAGATGTTTCTGTGCTAGAAATTACAAATCTCTTTTAAATGAACTTCTCTTGTCCTTGTCTCCTTTCATATGACAGAGGTGTATTATTAACAATACTCATCGTCTAGTGGAGCTTTGTGTGACCAAGTTGTCCCAGGACTGGTTTCCACTTCTAGATCTTCTTGCCATGGCCTTAAATCCTCATTGCAAATTCCATATCTACAATGGTACACGTCCGTGTGAATCAGTTTCTACAAATGCCCAGTTGCCTGAAGATGAACTGTTTGCTCGTTCCTCAGATCCTCGATCACCAAAAGTGTGTTGGTTTTCAATAGTAAATCTTTTTTTGTGTTTGTTACAAAACTTGTGACATGAACCTTACTTTAACATAATGATCAGTGTATAACTTTGTTTTGTATGGGTTTTTCTTAAAAAGCACGTTATTTAATATGTATAGTTGATTCATTGAGCCAGGGGCCAGCATCACAATAATTCATGCCTGAACAAGTTATGTATTGATCAGTTGATGAATATGTTCATATTGGAAGCTTTTTCTGTATCTCCCCTAGTAGCAGGATACAGTATTTGCTCCTGCAATGTTCAAATGACTTTAGAGAATATAACTGCTATAAGCCAAGGGCGTGAACTGTACTTTGCACTTAGATGTATATTTAATAGCATATATTTATGTATAGGCGATATAAACAGATTTTTGAATTTTAATTTTTTTTGTAACATGCTGTTAGTCATTTCTTAAAATACATTTGATTTCTTATGAGAGAATCTTAGTATTGATTAGCATCTGAGTTTTGAGTCCAGTAAATAATTTTTCAGTTTGTATTCATTTTACAGAAAAGATACAGTCTGCCCAAATTATAACAAATTTCAGGGAAGCACAGCAGAAAAATTTAAAAACTAATGATGCATCAACAGAGCTGAGAAATCAGCCAAAAGCACTGTATTAGACCTGGCTGTATAGAGAGAAGCTCTGTTTTGTATATGTTCATTCTCATGTGTCAGTAACTTACATGTCATTTTAATGGCTTTTTCTCAGAGACAACTTATTATATTCATTTAGATTAATATTTGAACATGTTGAAAGAACATAGCACTAGAAGCAGAAAACAAACTTAGCTTTATTGGGTATTAGTGCACATACACAAATAAAAAATAAAAGAACAACACAAAATCCCTGTAAAGAAATGTGAGATATGTAGATACACAGATGATTTTTCCGTTTTAATGCTGCTCATTTCTGTTTCTAGCCTGATTTTCATGGCTGGGACTTTAGTACCTGGCTGAACAGGTTTGGTCAAGGCAAGCATCCTTGTTTGTTCCTAGTCTTGGAGGAAATGCTTTCATTTTATCATTTAGTTTGATATTCGATATGGGTTTTCCATATGTAGCCTTTCTTATTTTAAGGTAATTTTCTTTTGTTTTTTTGGTGTTTTTATTGTTACAGATTGTTGAATTTGCCTAGTCCTTTTCTTTTATGAATTCAGATCATGTGAGTTTCTTCTTTCATTATGCTAATATGCGTTACATTAATTTTGTATATTAAGACATCCTTGCATTCTAAGAAAGAACATCCCACTTATTCATGTTGCTAGTATTATTGAGTGGTTTTATATCCGTATTTGCAGGATTCATCTCTAAATAATATCTTTGTCGGGCTCTGATATCACAGTAATCCTGCTCTCTTAAAATGAGTTTGAGTATATTCCTTCCTCTTCAGTTTTTTTGGAAAAACTTCAGGAGATTGGTGATAACTCTTTAATGCTTGTTAGATTTTTTCAATGACACTGTTTGGTCCCTCATTTTCTTTGTTGGAAGGTGGTTGATTCCTCATTCAGTCTCTTCCCTAATTATAGGCCTGTTCAAATTATTTCTCCTGATCAGCTGTGATAAATGGTGTGTGTTCTAGAAATTTGTCCATTTTATCTATGCCACCTTTTATTGACATGTATAGTACTTTCAATACAGTTAATCATAGTGCTAATTTCTTTTATTCTTTGTTAACTCTATAGTCAGTTCTCTCTTGTTTCTGATTTTGATTGAGTGTTTTTTTTTTTCAACTTAGTTAACCTGTCCAAAAGCTTATCAGCTTTTTTGTTTCTTTTTTCAGAAAACAATTTTGGTTGATTTTTTTTTCACCTCTATTTCTCTTTTACTTTTTTCTTTTTCAGGTTTTGTTTTTGTTTTTGATTGTATATGTGTGTGTGTGCGCGCGCGCAAAATAGGGGAGAGGACTACAGCAGGATAGAGAGAGAGATGGAGAGAATCTGAAGCAGGCCACATGCTTAATGCAAAGCCCAACACAAGGCTTGATCCCATGATCCTGGGATCATGACCTGAGCCAAAATCAAGGGCCCTCTATGCACTGAGCCACACAGGCGCCCATCTAGTTCCTTTTAAAATGTAAAGTTACATTGTTGCCTTCAAAGCTGTTTTTTAAAAACAGGTTTGAACGTATAAATTTTCCTTTGGGCATGGATTCATTTTTGATCAGTTAGATAAAGAGTACTTTGGGTTTTTTCTGCATATTTTGTGGGTTTTCCTGATAGCCTTCTATTACTGATTTCTAATTCCATTCCATTGTGTTCTTAAAAGATGTTTTGTATGATTTTACTGTTATTTAAAGACTTGCTTCTGCAGAATGTATTCTTATAAAGAATATGTATTCTGCTCTTGTTTACAATGTTCTGTATGTCTGAAAGGTTTGGTTTTGTATTGTCATGTAAGACTGTTTTTTGCTTATTTTCTTCTCTTTAGTTGTTCTGTTACTGAAAATGCTGTATTGAAATCTCCAGGTAGTGCTGTAGAACGTTGTCTCCAATGTCAGTAGTTGTTTCATATATTTATGAACCCTGAAGTTCTATCTTCCTGGTTAATTGACTCTTTTATCAAGTTTTGTACAGTTGAGTTTGTAGACTTTTCTCTTTGGGTTACTATTTGCATCAAATATATTTTTCCATCTTTCTCCTTTTAAGCTATACATATCCTCAGATCTAAAGTAACTCTGTTAGAAGACAGTGTGTCATTGGATTCTGGTTTCCCATCCATTCTGCTGATCTATATGCCCAGATTGGAAGGTCTGTCTTTTTAAATTTTTTTATAATGTTTAGTTATTTTTGAGAGAGGGAGACACAGAATCCGAAGCAGGCTCCAGGTTCTGAGGTGTTAAGACAGAGCTGGACACAGGGCTCAAACTCACAGACCACAATATCATGACCTGAGCTGAAGTTGGAGGCTTAACTAAAAAGTCTGTCTTTTTACATTCAGTGTTGTTACATTGATAAGGAAGGATGTGTTAGTACCATTTTGTTACCTGTTTTTCATATATCTTATAGTTTTTGATATATCTTATAATTTTTGGTGTTATCAGTTTCTTCCTTACTGACTTTCATTTATTAGGTTGATTTTTTCATTCCTTTCTCATTCTGTTTTGGGTATAAGTGTTCACTCTAGTTACAGTAGGGGTTAAGTGTAACATTCTAGGGTTAAAAGAGTTTGGTCTAATCTGATACCAACTTAAGTTAGTTGCATACAGAAACTATTCCTTTATAGCTTTATTCCTTTATAGCTCCACCACTTCACTGATGTCATAAATTACTTCTTCGTGGGTTTATATCTTTATAATTTTTATTCATATTTTTCCTTTTAAAAATTTTGCAAGGGATTAAAAAAATGAAGTTATGTGCCAAAATCAGAATGAAACTGGTTAAGTTGGTCCATTTATTTACTTTTTACATGCTTTTTATATGTTACCTTGAACATTGAGTCACTGTCAAGCATCCTTTCAACTTCATATTCTATTTAGCATTTCTGTTAGAGCAGGTCTAATGGTAATAGACTTTCTCAGCTTTTCTCTGAGAATGTCTTGATTTCTTCCGCATTTTTGAAGAAATGTTTTACCAAATAGAGTTCTCACTTGACAGTTTTTCTTTTAACAATATAAATAATATTCATCTAGCCTGTGTGTTTCTTCTGAGTAATCAACTGATTACATTACTGAGGATCTTCTGGGTGTGAAGAATCATTGCTTTATTGTTCTTTGTAAGATTCTTTCCATGTATTTGATTTTAGTTTGATTATAATCTGTCTTGGTGTGAGTCTGTTTGGGTTTATCCTCTTTACAGTGTATGGAGCTTATATATTTGGATTTGGGAAGTTTGGGCCATAATTTCTTCATAAGCTTTCTGCTCTTTTGTGATTCCCGTAGTGTCACTTTTCACAGTTGATGATGTTAAACGCCCTAGGCACTGTTCACTGCTTTTTTTAGTGTGGTTTGGTTTGGTTTTCGTTTGTTTTTTGTTCTTTTATTCCTTAGACTTGATCTGTCTTCAAGTTGTTACTTTATTCTGCCTGTTTGAGTCTGTTGTTGAACAGTTTAATGAATTTTAAGGTTTTATATTTTCATCTCCATAATATCCCTTTTGATTCCTTTTTATAATTTCTGTCTCTTTTTGGTATTCTCATTTTGTTCATATACATATTCCTTGTTTCTTTTATTTTTGTGTGTCTTCTATAACATGTTAAGCACATTTAGGCAATTTTAAGGTTTTATCAAGTAAGTTCAGTGTCTGCTTCTCCTTGGCTGGTTTCTGGAAGTTTTATTTAAAAAGTCACCTGGTGCTCTTAGGCTTTGCAGAGTGATTACTTGGAAGGGAAGACTTTCATTAATGAGCCTTTTCTGGGCATGTGTCTTCACCTGCTTTTTCCCATTCTAGTTCCTCTTTGTACACAATCACTTTTAAATGCCTTCATTCCCTAAAGTATCTCACCCTTGCTTGTGGGAGTTTTAGGAGTTCCCATTGTATTTCTCAGTCAGTAATTTGCCTTGGGAGTCTTGTAACCTATTTCTTCTTTGCCATTTTCATGAACTATGCCTGCTCCTTTCCATGGCTTTTCCCTAGCCTGAGTTCCAAACTACTTTTGTTTTTCTGACCTGCAAAATTGGTGACACAGACTAGTGTCTCAGGCAGCTCAGAAATAGATTATAATGGTACAGATTTAGTCATCTTCATCAGAAATAGATTATAATGGTATAGATTTAGTCATCTTCAGTTCATGTAAGGGAATTGAGGATAAGTCTCTAAAATGTGCTGCTCTCGGCAAGTTAGGCATCGGTAAGTAAAAACACAATGGAATTGCCTAACTGTTTCAATGAAAATAGTAAAACTGTTTTGTTTGTTTTTTTTAATGTGTATTTATTTTTGACAGAGAGAGAGAGAGAGACAGAGCATGAGCAGGGGAGGGGCAGAGAGAGAGGGAGACACAGAATCTGAAGCAGGCTCCAGGCTCTGAACTGACAGCACAGAGCCCAGTGCGGGGCTCGAACTCACAGACTGTGAGATCATGACCTGAGCTGAAGTCGGATGCTCAACCGACTGAGCCTTGGTGACTGTTTTTGATTCAGTGCTTGTTTGGTTCTCTTAAATTTTTGATGCTGGAAGTAAAGTTATTTCACAATAAAACGGTTTTTGAGCTTCTTAATTTGACATCTTGTTTAAATCACTCCCCAGTTTAATCTTTTAAATGAAATGTAAAGGTCAGAAAATATTATAGTGATTTTATTCAGTAATTAAATAATTGTTTACTGGAGGTTTTAAAATTTTAGGCTCCCGTATCAAATTTAGCATTTGGTGTATACCAGTGTATTCTTCTTATAATAGTTTCCTATTACTTAGCATTTCCTGTGTATCTTGAATAATTTTTTTTGTTTTTACATGTAGAACTCATTTCTGTCTCTAATCTGTTTTCTATTTTTGGTTTTGGTTTGTTTTTTCCTAAAAATTGGCTTTTTAGTCTTAAGGTAAGACTTAAAGATTTTGTGCATTTGTTTATACATTTGATTTTTATATTTACATAACCTTTAAGTTTATTTTATATTCTTACATATAAAAATTTTTTAGCTAGGTACACAACCTTTGCCTAATTCCTGTTCATCAGATATTTGAGACATGAATAAATAACAACTGTGCCATTCTGTACTCTGTAGCTGCAACCTGTGCTGATTTTGACTCGGAAACAAAGAACAAAATACTATAGAAGAAATCTTACATCTCCCTAAATAGTAAATGACTATATGTTACAGATAGTTTTAATTCTTTTGAAAAATAATTTTGTGTGATTATTTTATTGAGCTAGTTCTAATTTATATGAAATACATATTTCAGGTATAACTTCTAAGATTTTTATTACAGGAAAAAATTAACTCCCAGCATTAACTGTGTTGCAGGGTTGGCTAGTGGATCTCATCAATAAATTTGGCACTTTAAATGGTTTCCAGATTTTGCATGATCGTTTTATTAATGGATCAGCATTAAGCGTTCAAATAATTGCAGCCCTTATTAAGTAAGTTATAGTTTAAATTTAATATTTAGGGGGTACCTGGGTTCCTTAGTCATTTTAGTGTTGAACTCTTGATCTCGGCTCTGGTCATGATCTTACAGTCGTGAGATGGAGCCCAAGTGGAGATCTGCGCTGACAGTGCAGAGCCTGCTTGGGATTTTCTGTCTCTTTCTCCCTCCTCCTCTTCCCCGCCCCATTTGTGCTTTCTGTCTCAAAATAAATAAGTAAACATTAACAATTTTTAAAAACAATAGACTTAATTTTGTTACCTTGAAAATCATGAAATGTTACTTTTCTAGTCTACTTTCTTACGTTAAATGCTAACGTGATGTTTAAAACTTTGGAAATTCAGTTTTGGTAAAATACAGATATTAACAGAAATTTTGTCTTTTTCTTTTTTTAGACCATTTGGACAATGCTATGAGTTTCTTAGTCAACATACAGTGAAGAAATACTTTATTCCAGTTATAGAAATAGTTCCACAGTTTTTAGAAAATTTAACTGACGAAGAACTGAAAAAAGAAGCAAAGAATGAAACAAAAAATGATGCCCTTTCCATGATTATTAAATCTCTGAAGAATTTAGCTTCAAGGATTCCAGGACAAGGAGAAACTGTAAAAAATTTAGAAATTTTTAGGTTGAAAATGATACTCAGGTAAGATACTTCCATCTTTAAATATTTTCCTGACTTTTTTTTTTACACTTAATCAAAGTTTCTCTTGCAGATTGTTGCAGATTTCTTCTTTTAATGGAAAGATGAATGCACTGAATGAAATTAACAAAGTGTTATCTAGTGTATCATTTTATACTCATCGTCATGGAAATCCTGAAGAGGAAGAGTGGCTGACAGCTGAACGAATGGCAGTAAGCCCCTTTCATTCTTTTATGAATTAGAATCTGCTTAAGGAAAACTAGATTGGCACCAATTAGTGTTAGAAGCAATATAACAAAAATAATTCTGAAATTGGGAGATTGATGTATAACTATTCTAAAACTGTTCTTATAATGGTAATAGCAAACAATCTGTTACTTAGAAATTTATAGGTTAACTTATTGTGTCTTTGGTAAGTTTATCATTGTTGCAAATAGTTGCTCACGATGCAGTTATAATTCAGTGGGTTGACTGAAATAACATACAGTTAAGGTGATCATTAGAGGGGTTAGGTAGATCTAGAATCTAGTGAATGAATTGGCATGGTAACTTGCCAGTTCAGTTTTGAAGTTCTAAAGTGGTGATTATAATTAAAGCAGTAAAATCTGAATTAATGTTTTATCATGATTTTTAAAACTTATTTTTTAAAATTGTTTACATCTATCATTTTAACACTGAAACAGTATACCAGAGGTATTTCTATATATTTTAGTGTTAAAATGAATAGTAGTAGGCCTTGTAAGTTACTTGCTTGGTAACATATTTTGAGTGTATATGTTTGCCAGGACTGGGAATATATCTGTGAAGAATGATCTCCACCTTAAAGGAGTCTTAGGTTTAATAGTGAAAATGATCGGGGCGCCTGGGTGGCGCAGTCGGTTAAGCGTCCGGCTTCAGCCAGGTCACGATCTCGCAGTCCGTGAGTTCGAGCCCCGCGTCGGGCTCTGGGCTGATGGCTCAGAGCCTGGAGCCTGTTGCCGATTCTGTGTCTCCCTCTCTCTCTGCCCCTCCCCCGTTCATGCTCTGTCTCTCTCTGTCCCAAAACTAAATAAACGTTGAAAAAAAAAAAATCTTTAAATTAAAAAAAAAAATAGTGAATATGATCAAAATGTGTTAAAAAGTCTTTGAGGACTCTTTGTTATTGGCAAATGGTATGCAACCTAGACCCAGGTGTTCTGACATAGTGTTAGGAGTCAGGTGTCAACTATACAATGTGTCTGCTCTGTGAAATGCCAGCATAATACTACTTAATCCACTAGTTGTGAATTATTACAAGTCTTTGAAAGGTACAGAATAGCAGAGTGTTAAGAAACTTTTGAAGCACTTTGTCATCACTGTGGCATTTCTAATGATTCTTCTCCCACCAAAAATATGACACTAATTATTCTTCACAGATAGTATAAGAAATGTGCTATGGTACATTTTAATGGGGCCATTCCTGAATGTGGAAAAAAAATTCAGTACAACTATGTTTTATAGTAATTTTCATTAAAAACAACAATAAGCACATTACATTTGTGATTTTTGTAAGTTTTAAATTTAGTGTATATGTGAGCATTTGCGTGCAAATTTGGATTCTAATACTGTAATATTGAATAGTTTTGCACTTAAATATATAAACACGTTACATTAGTATGTTATGATTTGTAAACATAAACACGATTTAGGCTTCTAATTAATGTTACAATACTGTTAATTCAGAATCTGAACTAGTTTTTTTTTTTCCCTCCAGATTTTGAGGTGTAATTGATATATATATCTATATAAATTTAAGTATACAGCATAACCAAGGATTGTGGACATTGACCCCCAGCACAGTTGGAAATCCTTATATAACTTGAAACACCAAAAGCTTACCTACTGGAAGCTATCTATTGACTAGAAGCCTTATTTATGACACAAGTCAATTGAGTATTTTATGTAAATAATACATATTCTTAAAATAAAGTTATCCAAAAAAAAATTTAGAAAATCGTAAGGAGAAGAAAATATATTTATACTACAATAGTGTATTTATTTCAAAAATCTGTTTATAGGTGGACTCAACACATTTCAAACCTGTGTTGTCAGTGATTAGTACAATAAATTTAGTTAAGGGGCGCCTGAGTGGCGCAGTTGGTTAAGCGTCCGACTTCAGCCAGGTCACGATCTCGCGGTCCGTGGGTTCGAGCCCCGCATCAGGCTCTAGGCTGATGGCTCAGAGCCTGGAGCCTGTTTCCGATTCTGTGTCTCCCTCTCTCTCTGCCCCTCCCCCGTTCATGCTCTGTCTCTCTCTGTCCCAAAAATAAATAAAAGTTGAAAAAAAAATAAAAAAATAAATAAAAAAATAAATTTAGTTAACATGTATCATCTCATATAGGTATTTTTTTAATTTTTATCCAATTGAGACCTTTACGATGTACTATCTATATCACAGCAGCTTAACTATTGATGTCATGTTTCATGTTGTACATTATATTCCCATTACTTATTTACCTTACAACTGGAAGTTTTTACCTTTTGGCCCTAAGTTGCCCACTCTAATTTTTAGTTCTGCTTTGAAACAAATTTTTGTGTTACATTTAGGAGTGGATACAGCAGAACAATATCTTATCCATAGTCCTGCGAGATAGTCTTCATCAGCCTCAGTATGTGGAAAAGCTAGAAAAGATTCTTCGTTTTGTGATTAAAGAAAAAGCTCTGACATTGCAGGATCTTGATAATATCTGGACAGCACAGGTAAGTAATTTAAGATGGTAGCTATTTTATAAGAAAGTGGGCTCCTGGGTGGCTCAGTTAAATGTCCAACTCTCTGGGCTCAGGTCATGATCCCCCAAGTCATAATTTCATGAGTTTGAGCCCTGTGTTGGGCTCTGTGCTGGCGGTGCAGAGCCTGCTTAGGATTTTCTTTCTCTCCTCTCTCTCTCTCTCTCTCTCCCCCTGTACCCCCCCACCCCGCACTGATGCTGCTGTCTCTGTCTCTCTCTAAATAAATACCTTTAAAATTAAAAAAAAAAAGAAGATATTAAAAGTTAAATAATCATTGATAGTAATTATATATTGTGATGTGAATTTGTATTACTTGACTTTTTGGAGTTTAACTGTAGTTTTCCAGGGTGACTGGGTGACTCAGTTGCTTAAGCATCTGACTCTTGATTTCAACTCCGGTCATGATCCCATGGTTTGTGAGTTCAAGCTCTATGTCTTGCGAGATTCTGTGTCTCCCTCTCTTTTCTGCTGCTCACAGGCACTTTTCTCTCTCTTTCTGTCAAAATAAGTAAATAAACTTAACAAAACAAAACCTCCCTCATCTTGATACCCTTTGTTAATGGTATAGATCATAAATTTTACAATTGTATATATTATGTACTTACAAGAATAAATTTGATTTTCAAATCAATAGTAAATTTGTTTTTTCTTGCAAATTATGTGAGGAAAGAAATGTTACAGGAATATATTATTTATTTTTTGCGTGAATAAACTGGGGAGTGTTATTAAGCTCTAGATTACAAAGTCCTGCCCAGTCTACCCTTTTTTAATTTTTTTTTTCAACGTTTATTTATTTTTGGGACAGAGAGAGACAGAGCATGAACGGGGGAGGGGCAGAGAGAGAGGGAGACACAGAATCGGAAACAGGCTCCAGGCTCTGAGCCATCAGCCCAGAGCCCGACGCGGGGCTCGAACTCACGGACCGCGAGATCGTGACCTGGCTGAAGTCGGATGCTTAACCGACTGCGCCACCCAGGCGCCCCTAGTCTACCCTTTTTTAAAGAGAAATTAACAAAATACTGTCTTCCGTCATTGACCACTTCAGTCCTCGGTTATGAGATGATTCGCTATTTTGCCATATTTCCTCTTCATTTTTTTTGAAAATACCTGTAATAAATTTTCATTTGAATTCTGGAAGTGCTTTATCATTAATACCAAGAAATTGAGTATAATGAATGTAATTGGCCCCTCTTCAGCATTTAAAATATTACCATAACGTCGGGGCGCCTGGGTGGCTTAGTCGGTTGAGCAGCCAACTTCAACTCAGGTCATGATCCTTTCGTTCACAGGTTTGAGCCCCGGGTCAGGCTCTGTGTGGACAACTCATAGCCTGGAATCTGCTTCAGGTTCTGTGTTTCTGTCTATCTCTCTCTGCCTCTCCCCTGGTCATGCGCTCTCTCTCTCTCTCTGTCTCTCAAAAATAAATAAAAACATATCTCAAAAAAAAGGGTTTTTTTTTCCCTCAAGTAAAAAAAAGAATTCTCCATAACCTCAGATGAACCATGTGGGAATATTTTATTAATGCAAGTAGACTCAGTAAAGCTACTTAGTTCACATCTTTATTTAAACCTAACTCTACTGCTGATTCTTTATGTTTTACTTTTATGTATTTCATATTTGTTTTTCAACAGGCAGGGAAACATGAAGCTATTGTGAAGAATGTACATGATCTGCTGGCAAAATTGGCTTGGGATTTTTCTCCTGAACAACTTGATCATCTTTTTGATTGCTTTAAGGTAGTAATTCAAGTAGTAAAATAGTACCACTTCATTTTAAGTAAACTTGAATTAATTAGATATATTTGAGTTTACCCAACCACCATTACTTACTAACAGATTTCACCAAACAGTCTTTCATGAAGAAAAATTGATCTTTGTTTCATATTCTGGTCAGAATTTAACAGATTTTATTGTATTTCTGATTTCCATTACAGAATACTGCTCTTTTCTACTCAGTTTATTTCAGTTTCTTTAACTTTCTCTGACAACTTTTATTTTTGCTTTAAGTTAAATAAGGTGGAATTGCAGAGGAGTGTTATAATAAATAGACATTTTTAACAAATGTGAAAACAAATGATATACTAACTGCAAAGAGTTCTCTAGGATAACGTATAAAGACCTAGAAGTGAGATTCAGAAAGAACTCCCAAGACTTTTATTACCTGTCTTCATTTATCTAATGGGGCACTTTTTTGTGTTCATTCTCTGTGGTTGGTAAAGTTGGTTGGAGAATTTGTAGATCAGAAAGAAAAAATTATATGTTATTATTTATAAATGAGTATTCAAGTAACCATAGGCATTAGAACCCCAGGATTTCTTGCTAAAAATAATTTGCATTGTTCCTGGCAACTTAGTTGCTACAACCAATGAGAAAAAGCAGTTTGACATTATCTGTTACTATGTGTATTCTTGTGTCCCATGACACAACTGTTGTATTTCTGTAGTGTATCCTGGAGAAATACACTATACATATACCAGGATACATGTTCAGAAATGCCTGCAGCAGGGTACCTAGGTGACTCCATTGGTGGAGCATGTGACTCTTAATCTCAGGATTGTGAGTTTCAGCCCTACATTGGGTGTAGAAAGTACTTAAATAAAACCTTTAAAAAGGTAAAAATAAAATAAATAAAAGTTAAATTCTGAGATCACTTCTGAAATGGTGATATATCTATAAAAACCATAATGAAATATGGAGGGGTATCAATTTTTCCTCTTTTTAATTCTAATATTCTCAAGATTCTATAACTATAATCATAATAAAAATTCCATCATCTTTTCATACTCCTTTAGTTTACCAGGTGTTTGCTGAATACCTGTTGTTCAGTTAAAGGCATTATATTTTAAGATTTAGTATTGTATAATTTATTGTGTCTTGGAAGCCCTTTTACTAAAAAGAGAAATGTCTTACTAAAACCACTGAAAGAAAGCATAAAGTGTAAGTGACTTAATTTTTTTAAAGGTTGTAACTAAATGATCCTGGCTTTCTCTAAATACTTATTCTTAGTTGTATTTCCTTGTGTTATTGCTCAATTGGTGGTCTGTAAGTATTTTGGTTCCTTTTAAGTCTTCATCTACCAGAGCATTTGTACTAATTTACATTCCTTACCAGCATTTTTTGTCAGAATTAATTTTTCGCATCTCATGAGTTTGAAATTGTTTTTGTGTTAGTGTTCTTTTTAGTCTTTTATGAGATTGAATTTTTTTTTAAAAAAACAGGTTTATGAACTATGTGTCTTTTTGTGGTGACTGGTTACTCCTATCTTTTACCTGTTTATTTTCCCTATTTGATTTTTCCTCTTTTTTTACTCATTCCTAAGTTTTTTGTACATCTGATTGCTCAGTCATTGCCCATAGGAACTAAAAATAATTTCTTAGAGTTTTATTAGCACTTTGTTATCTTCCTGACTGTATAACTGGTTGATGTATTTTAATCCTCTTTGATTCTGCTCCCTTTATCTACTTTGTTTTTGTCACATACATTGTTATAATCATTTTCCTAAATCATGAGCAGTTTTTGTATTCCTTTCATCATTTTCAGAGGAAATTTTGTAGGGTAAAGAACAGTTTAGAAGGAAGCCTTCAATTTGTCTTCCTAGAAGTCCCATATTTGTCATTTTATCCTTTCCCCATATTTATCATTCTAAGTTGTATAATTCCATTAACAGTTATTCTTTTCTCTAATTATTGGATATTTAAGTGGCTAGCAGTTCTTACATTCTAGTAACCACTGAATACAAGAGAATACATAGCACTTCCCCTCAATGTTGTATTAATGAGCCTTATAGAACACTTTTATTTTTATTTTATAAACTAACTTTATTTTGGGAAAATAATAGTTTCACATGAATTTTAATAAATAATAGTTTTTTTTTCATATATTTCTTCTGAAAACCTCTTCCAGAATGGTATTAGCCAAGATAGTGACATTGATACTTTATGATCTGTTTCCATCACCATATGGATTCCGCATTAGTTCTTCCATGTCCACACTCTGTCCTGCCCCTGCTTTATCCTAACCCCTGGCAGCCACTAGCATAGTCTCTATTTCCACAGTTTTTTTCATTTTGAGGTTTTTAAATAAATGGAGTAATATAGTATGTAGCCATTAGAGATTTGGGGTGTTTTCCACTCAGCATAATTTTGTGCAGGCTCATACAGATTGTTATGTGAATCTATAGATTGTGTTCCTTATTGCTGAGTAGTATTCATGATACAACTTTAACTACTTATGGTTTATTTAACTATTCCCCCATAAATAAATGCGTTTCTCATTTGGAGCTCTCACAAATAAAGCTGCTGTGAACATTGGCGTGAAAATTTTTTTGTACATGAACCTAATCTTTCACTGAAATTGCAGTTGTTGTGTTGCATAGTAGTTGCACATTTAGTTTATTTAGTTTTTTTACAAATGAGTTTTAGAAAGATACAATTTACAAACTGTGGATTCACACTAAGGAGTATGATTCGGTATATCTTAGTATGTTCACAAAATTATGCTACTACAACCACTAATGTCAGAATATTTTCATTATCACAGCAGAAAATTTCAGTTGTTATTCTGTCCATCTTCCAGCCTCTGCCCTTACTACTTCTGTTTTTATGGATTTTCCTATTGTGGACATTTATCTAAATATGTGGCCTGTTTTGACTTGATATATGGCTAAGCATAAGAGTAAATGCCATATCATGTATTAGAGTTCATTCCTTTTTTTTGATAACTTCTGTTCAGCAGTGTGGATGTATTAATTTTGTTTATCGATCAATAAACTTTTGAGTTGTTTCCACTTTTTGTTTGGTGTGAATACTGCTACTCGAAACATCCACGTACAGGTTTTTGTATGCATATCTGTTCCTTTGTATTACCAGATAATGTTTTGTTGTATCAATTCATTAGTTATGAATCGTTTGGGTATTTCACACTTTCTGCAAAGTAAATAATGCTGCTGAGAAGAGTTTGGACATATATATTCAGGTCTCTTGAGTATATATTAGAAATTGAATTGCTAGGTCACATGGTAATTTAAAGTATAACATTTTGAGGACTGACAAGCTGTTTTCCAAAATAGCAATACCTTATATTCCCAACAGTGTATGAGGGTTGCTGTTTCTTCTTGTCCTTGTTAACTCTTGCTATTGTCTTCTAATTATTAGCCATCTTAGTGGAGTTAAAATAATGAATGTCTCATTCTGGTTTTGGTTTGCATGTTCATAATGGCTAATAATGTTGAATATATTTGCTTAAAGACTATTTGTATTTTATCCTTGAAATTTCTTTTCAAATTCTTGACTGTAGGTCTTAATTTTTGATTTATAGATTGTTTATACATTCCGTATGCAAACCCAATATCAAATTATGTTTTGCAAATATTTTCTCTTTGATAGGTTACGTTTTTTCTCATTCTTCATCGTATTTATAGCACAGTTCAAAAATTTTTTAATTCAGGTGGATTTGACATAACGTAAATAAAATAAACCAATTTAAAACGAAAATTAATGTGGTCAGTCTGTTAAGTGTCTGTCTGATTCTTGGTTTCACCTCAAGCTATGATCTCACGGTTCATTAGTTTGAACCCCCACATCAGGGTCCATGCTGACAGTTTGGAGCCTTTTTGGGATTCTCTCTTTCCTTCCCTCTCTGCCGTTCCACCTCTTGCCCTCTCTGCCTCAGTCTCAAAGTAAATACACACACACACGTACGTACATACATACATACATACATACATACAACTTAAAAACAAAATTTAAAACTAAAGTTAGTAATTTTTTAGTACATTCAGTGTTGTGCAACCACTACTTTTATGAAGTTCCAAAACATCTTCATCACTTCAGTTATTTCTCTTCTGAACCCTTCCTTGCTGCACCCTATAAATCAGCCTGCTTTCTGTCAAAGACGTGTGTATTCTGGCAAAAGTTTTTAACTTTGTAAAGTCCAGTTATGTATTTACTCATTTTATTGATCACTTATGCATTGTTTCCTATTTTAGAAATCCTTGCCTAATTGACAATCTCAGAGGTTTTTATTTTTAATGTCTTCTTCCTACTATAAATGCATACTTACAAGTACAGTTTAGGTGTAACCATGTAAGTTCATATTTAGATCTACATTTCATTTTGAATTACTTTTTTGCAGTGTTGTGATGTAGAGTTCGAGTTCATTCTTTTTTATGATGTTTACTTGTCCCAGCAACATTTGTCTAAAAGACCACTCTTGGGGTGCCTGGTTGGCTCAGTCGGTTGAACATCTGACTTAAGCCTAGATCATCATCTCACAGTTCATGAGTTTGAGCCCCACATTGGGCTCTGGGCTGGACAGCTGAGAGCCTGGAGCCTGCCTTAGATTCTGTGTCTTTGTCTCTGTCTGCCTCTCCCCTGTTCATGCTCTGTCTCTCTGTCTCTCAAAATAAATAAACATTAAAGAAAATTATAAAAAGACTATTCTTGGGGTGCTCAGGTGGCTCAGTTAAGTTCCTAACTCTTGATTTTGATTCAGATCATGATCTTACCGTTTGGGGGAATCAAGGCCCACGTGGCCGGGGGGACGGGGTTAGGGGTGGCATGAGATTCTCTCCCTTTGTCTCTCTGCCCCTCCCCAGTACTTACCTGTGCATGGTCTCTTGCTCTCTCTCTATCACCCTCCCTCAAAAATTGCACACATTATTAATAATTAATTAGTTCTTTTTATTCAGCTGTCCTGACATCTTCTGGTCTGTTAATCTGTATGTGATTATGTCAATA